TAAGAAGTTTAGCTGGCATCCCCCACGGCGCAAGGTGCCGTCATTTTCACGCCTGATTTGTTAACCAAAACGAAGGCATCAGGTCGGTATTTGGATACTTTTCCATGGCAATTAAGCCGCAGTGTTCGTTCACTTTTTTCGGCTTACACTGCGGTAAAAGTTGTAGGCCTGTGATGCTATTTATTGAAATACAAGTGCTGGACGTCCATTTGCACTCAATCGCACGTAAGCCATAAACGTTTTCCTGTTCAGATTCGTTTTACAGCTCTGGAAATGCTACCTTTCCTTCGCATCCTTCTCGAAACTGTGCAGTCATCGAGTATAAAAAGAAAATAAAAGCTTTCTTTCAAGGCATCACTCAACGAATAGCCACATAAACGATGCAATCAGGCTTATACATATTTAAAAATACTCTTTGGGTAAATTTTTAAGCCATTCTGGGTTTTATGCTGCACCGCCCAGCCATCCAATAAAAGGAGGAAAATAAGCAATATTTTGCTTGTGCTTTAGGGCTTCTCCTCTTTTCTGAGTGTAGTTAGGGTGAATAAATCATGGTTCTCACAGCTGGCTGGAAATTTCAGTCCATATGGCTGTAGGTGTCGGCGGCTCCCGACGCCCAATCTGCGTTAATTCCCAATTTGGTTTATAAATAAAAAGAACAAATCGGCCCTTAACGATGACGAGCATCAGCATCCGAGCTGACATCATTTCAAAATCGTTAAAACCTGCCCGTTAATGGGCTTCCCCAAAAGAGAGAGAGCGGGACTTCGGGCAGTAAAACTGCAAAATTGAACGGAATACCTTTATGGGCAGCGCGTGATGCGCCCGTAGGTCCTTGCAGGTTCTGGGCATCCTTGGTCCTGGTAAACCCACAGGTATACCTGTTACCAGACACGTGCCCTACACCAAATTGACTACGGCAACTTAATTAAAAGCGTAGGCAAACTAAATTACCTGTCGAAGAATTTGAGTGAGCAAATTTGATGACTGACCTTGCGAGTCCCGATAATTAGCTCAATTATTTCTAGGGGGGCAAATAAAAGCATATTAGTGAGACACTCTGCAAAATTAACACAAATGCACAGGGCTTTTAATGAATTTATCAAGTAGCTTTTAAAGTACAATTTGTCAAAGTTGTGCGAGCAAGCAAATTAAATAGTTGTTCAACTAATTTGGGAAGGCATTTTTAATTTGATTGCCATCCTATGCATCTTAGATATAAAATATTTAAAGCGTGTAAGCAACCAACCAAATATTAAATTGTTAGCCAGCTTTGTTTACTACATAAATAAATACTTTTCATCTAAAGATTGAATTAAATAAACACACAATACAAAAATAACAATGGAATAAGTTGTCTTAATCTAAATTGAGTTATGAATATTTTTTTTTGTGGAGTAAGTCTCCCTTTACATTGCATTTTCTTAAAATTATTACATTACTTGCATTTACATGCTGTTCTTCTTTTATGTAATTTCTTACTAAAAATTCTTTATTTTAATTAAATTCCGTTTAGTACAAATTCAGTATAACATAAAATAAATTCGTGACAGGAAAAACAAAGGAAAAACTCAATGGCCTTTGCCCATATAAATGTTGGATATTAAAGAACTTATTGTTTACCCATACATTTATCCAGCCACCGACTCCGACTTGAAACATTATCTTCAGTAAATACTAACCTAATTGCTGCTGGGCTCCCATAAGCGATATTTGCGGAACTGAAATGCGGGCAAATTTGCTGATTGTCACACAGGCTGACGTGCAATTTATCGTAATTGAGTCGGGCCAACAATCATTTTTTGATCGCTTCACACACGCACTTGGGGAAAATGCTGGAAAATGGGTGGAAGTGGAGGTGGGGGTGCAGAGAAAACCTCGATGAGTTGGCAGGACCCATTACAGCCAGTGTCCGTTTGCTGTCTGTGAAAATGCCAACTTCTGGTGGCCCGCTCTTTGCCATGGGATTAATGGACAAATAACGTATTCCCGTCTGCAAATGTGCTGGCGGATAATCTCATTATCTGGCTGTCTTGACCCAAGACACCCGGACATCGACCGGCCGGCCGGAAACCGGAAATTGGCCACTAGGCTGCGGTAATTGAAATAAATAGAGTTGGCTCTTAGACCCCCAAAAGTGGGCTAGCAGTTCTCGGAATCGATCAACTTGGCCTAAAACCTTTTTCGTCACTGCCAACTGCATTAATTGGCTTATATTTGCTGATACCCTTAGTATTAAAGGGAGATGACTTTTATCTTTGTAATTTTTGTTAAGTAAAAGGAAAGTAATATCCATATCCGTAAACATTTTTTACATTTTTTACATTTATATCGAAAATCTTAATTTTATTTATCTGCGTCATAAATAGGTTTTAAATTTCTGATCTCCCTAATATTATGTTTCATGGGTAATATTTGTTAAGAGCTCTTAATCCTCTGATAAATTCAAGATAAATTCTTCAAATTTGTTAAGCCATTTGGAATAAAAGTTAGAGAGTAATTGGGCTCTTAAGAATGGTCTTTGAATTCTCAGAATTAGCCCAACTTTTTTCCCATCACTGTCAACTGCGTTAATTGGCTTAAATGGCTGATTCTCGGAGCCAGATGAACGTTGTATTTGTCAAATTAAATTTAAAAGTTAACCACTTTGAGAAAATTCTCAGAAAATTAGGGCAAAGAATTCTTTGCCTTTTTCAAGGAAGCTTTACAAGTAAAGACTAATTGAAATAAGTGAGCCAACTCGATGTCGTATTTATCATTGTATTTATGCCAAAAATTTCCAGCCAATGGCTAAAGTGTATTTATGGTTTTTGGTCTCCTAAAAAATTCCCAGCCTCTGCTAAAATAGTGATTTATTATTCTGGGCCCGTGCCCATATTCAATTTCAACGTTAAACCAAAAAGTGACCAAAAATCTTTAAAGAATTTAAGCCATTTAAGCTGTAAGTCATTTTCACTTTAGACAAATTACATTTCGATAAAAGCCTCGCGCCTGGTTTTCCCGCTAAATTTACATTTTTTCCTAACGAAATTTTCGCGCGGAAAGTGCCATTGGGGCAAAGTGCAAAAAGCACAGCCAATGTATGCGTTGTATTGGTCCTGTCCTTCTTTTGTGTTTTATTCCAAAGCATTTTACCTGGTGAGGAGCCAATTTCTTTCCCGCCTGTCGGAGTGGGAGTTAAGTGTTCTCCCAAGTTCCTCAATCTTTGGCTACAGAATGTAATAATTGAAATTTGCATGAGTATTACAGTTCAAAGAGGCGATGATAGAGACTTGCCAACTTGGCAACCAATCTAACAGAAATTGTTATTCAAGGCGTTAAGGTTAAATATTTTAACCTTTTGTAGTGAATGGAAAAAATAAAAGATACATTTCAGATAAATTTCCATTTTCAGTAGACAGCATAATTTCATTGCTAATAAAACGAGGACAAACTAATTCCATTGTCAATGAAAGATTAAAGTTGTTTGTGGTGGCATTAGCAAGTCTTGACAGTAAAATATTGCATACAATTAATACAAAATATTTGGTTTGAGATACATGATGATGACATGATAATAACCCTGTTTCGATTGTCTAGAGAAACAAAACCTATTTAATAAATGTCTTGCTCATTAAGTTATTTGTCAATTTACAACAAAAACAACATTTTATTCTTTAACCTTTAAAAATGCCTTTGAACTTAAGCCTTAAAGTAAATTTAAGTGGCAAATTAAATTAAGATGTTAAAATTTAATGTAGTGAAACGTAATATCTTGCAGCCAAAATACTTTTATTCCTTTATGAAACATCTGCAAAGCTTCAGCGGAAAATATGGGATAATGTGGGAAAAGTAGCAAGTGAAACGCCTTTCTGGCAAATAAAGTCCTGGCTATTCCATTTGGCACTATGTTTCCAGCGATTAATCAATACCACCTTTCACGCTGCCTTTATATTTAGGACTCTCGCCCCCTGTTGAATGGGTCCTGGGTCCTTGGTCCGTGGTCCTTGTGCCGCTACAGGTTAGCATTTTAATTTCACACTCCGTGGATCTCCCGTCGGTGTGGGAGCTGTCTGCGAGTGTGGCTGTCCGTGTGGCTTTATGGCTCAATTGGTGAAAATTGGTTTGTTTGTCTGCAGCCACTCAAGGGAACTCTGGCTTCATAGAAGCTGACAGGCACAAAGGACAAAGGACCTCGGGCCACAACCCGTTCCCAGTGAATAGAAGAACACACTAGCATATATACATAACTATACTATATAACTATACTGGTCGCGTATCGGTTGAACGGTTCTGGCCACCGCAAAACCACAGCCCCTCTCAGAAAGGATACACAAGTGCTGGACACGGGACAAGGGGATGGTGTGTCTTTCGTCCTGACCAGAAAAGCTATCCTTTGCCTGCAGCAGTCAATTGATTCCATACATAATACCAAGGCTTTCTACATATGTTTTTCTGCCCTTTACCATAGTAATCACCTATGCATGCATTAAATTTCTTGGTCTCGCTTTGGGCGAAATGGGATATGGCAGAATTTACATATTGTTATGGTCGATTTATTTGGGCTATTGTTCGAAATGATAATATATGCACTTTCTTTTGAAATGGGACTTTAAGGAAGATAGATAACAAACATTTATTAGGGTCTGGTTTAATTTTACAATTTTAATGTTTTTCAATAAATTAAATCCAATTTATTAACAAAAGGAAAAGTGCTTTGTAATCCCTTGACTCATAATTAGTAGAATTAGCATTCCTCTTCCATTAACTGCAAATTGCTTATGTAATTATAGCGTAAGCATACACAAGTTGACCACAATCAAAATGTGCTCATTGTACATTATATAATGGCCAAAACAAACAATAATTATAATCGGGTGTTGGTCTGCCACGTCATCGTGGCTGAGTAAGCAATAATGAATGTCCAGCGGATAATCCTTATTCCATAATTTATTAGCAGCTAATGTAGAAGACAAATCTCGGCAATATTTAAATCACTTTTGTCGTATTTCTTTCCTTAGAATTTATTCGCAAACTGCGACTTTGCACACTGGAAATATGAGAGGAGCGCAATCAGCAAGAGCGAAATGAATAAATTACGCGAAAATAAAATCAATTTGCATTAAGAGCTGGAGACGAGCGACTAGCCAACGTCGGACCCGTCAGACGGACGGACTGCTACTTGGATCACAAGACCCCTCCTCGAGAACCTCGTATACCATCTCTCATCCACCGACTGACAGCCATTTGAAGGACAAACAAGGCGCTGGCCCATGAGCTGCCGCGCGGGCAAATTATATTACCTTGTCAGGCGAGTGACATAAGGCGGACCTCTTGGCCCCTTGGCCCCGCACCCACACAGTTCATGTGTGGATCCCAGTGAGGTGGTTGCTGGTGACGGAGGAGGCACTGGGGTCACGTCTTGGATTACCAAATCGCCAACGCCATCGACGGAATGCTACGCAGCTGCGTGTGCCTGCGCACCGACGATGACGGGAAGCGGCGCAGCTCCTCCGTGGAAGACGCCTCCTCGTGCCGCTCGTCGGAAATAGAGCGCGTGGGCGCCAGCATGCAAACGCTGGGTCCCAATGGACAGCCGCAGTCATCCGCCGCGCAGACGAGCACCAGGGCCTCCAGTCTGCTGCAGCTCTTCCAGCGGCGAGGTTGGTGCAAGCACTTCCGCAAGCCGCTCCGGGGCATGAGCGCCTCCCGGGCCGAAAAAAGTGAGTACCGGTACAATTTACTATGTGGATAGTCCTGATCAGGAAGCTTTAGAACAAAGATGATTGTAAAAGGATCTTATAAGGATATGGAGAATTAAGAAAGGCTTTCCATCCCCATAAGCTAAAAGTAGTTATGCTTATTAGAAAAAACCAACGTCGTTTAAAAACCAGCCAGGTACCTCCCACTTGTGGTCTATAGAAAATGTGATCTCTGAATTTTTCAGTACAATTTAACATAAGCAAGGATTAAGAAATAAGTAGGTTGTAGATCCTTCAGACTATAATATCTAGAAATACAGAATTGTTTAAATATCATATCCATTTATATTTGGCAAAGTTAACTGAAACTTAATTTACGAGACTTAAAAAAATTAATTTAATCACTTTCGCTTTAAAATATCCAGAAGAACAATAAATATAACACGCTCTATAAAAAAATAAATATATGCAGCTTCTGATTATAATCAGAATTATACATTTAATCTCGTTGAGGAGCGCAAAGAAGTGTGCTTCGTTTTTCAAGTTTAGGGTCTATATTTTATCAAGTATAGGCATTCAACTTAACTATTCTTATCTGTTTTTTTCTGTGTACAATCATCTGGTTTGTTTAATAGGGCTTTGTGCGAAACGGGCAATGAAACCAACGATTGCAACAAACCTAATCCAGTTACTGGGGCCTTTTAGACCTCATATAGTAAAAGCTCCCTAGGGCAAATACCCCTTCTGCATTTAATACCAGAAATGAGACCCTAATAGCCACCCTGTCATAGAGGTGATTTTACCGTCATAAATGGTTTATGAGTCATCAACACATCAAGTTTCTGGACAAAGCTGAATTGCCCTGGAAATTTTTAAATTTAATTTCTGGTGCCGGAAATTAAATATAATTTGAAAGTCAATTAAGACAGCCCCTAAACAATTTTAAATTAATTCAAAATGTCCTAAAATGTCCTTTTAAAACTTATATAAAATGTTATTATGAATTCCATTTTATTTTATAAAGTATCCCAAGAAATACCTACTTAGCGTTCTTAAGGATTTTTGTAAACGAATATATTAGCACAAGATGGCGAGTCTTAAATAGTTTGCAAATATCTCCTGAACTTTAACTCGTATGTGGACACATAATAAGTGGGAATACATAATAAGTGGGTTAAGCGCAACTTTATTACTATGTTTAACATTCGCGTTGGGTGGTAAAACTTGGGATTGTGTAGTCGGCCACTAAGTAAAGACTTTCGGGGACCTTGTACTGCAGTTGCATTTGCCCTTTTCTTTCGCGGCTTTTTGAAACACTTAGTTACTTTTGCCCCGAGTATGTCTGTTTCTGTGTTCCGGCGCTTGCGCTAACTTTTATTTATTGTTCCAATTTGCTAAACAAGCGGTTCAGGTGGATCCAAACAGCCAGAGACACGACACAAGCAAAGGAAAAAACAAACAAAAAGAAACCTCTTGCAGCCGCCTTGGCTGGACAGCTGGCTATTAGTGAAAACCCGACTATAAACCTACATATACGACGTATATATGAACATATAGTAGACTCAGCCAGTCACGCAGCCAGAAATTAACCACAAGCACGCGGACGTGGACGCAAATTGGAAAAGGGAAAGGTTACCACCACCCCAAACCTCTGTTTTTTTAGGTAATTGGGGAAAGCACAGTGGGAGAGTTTTGTTAAAGATCCTTAAAAATCAGGACCTTTTACAATTCCTAAACATTTTCTTTATGAGAAACTGGTGATTTCAAAAAATACGATTCTTACAAAACTAATCATATTCTTAGAACCGTTTTCTCGTCTGTTTGTTAAATTTAAAGTAAGGTTATATCCCTAAAATCGTATGGGAAATCAGAGTTCTAACCCTACTTTAAATGTAACAGGCTGACGAAAAACGGCCCATAGTATATTCTCCAGAAAACAAAATTTTTAAGAAATATTTGTTAAAGCTTTTTCTTTCGTTTTTTAGAGTGATTTTATCTTGATTTATCTGGAAACTAATTGAAAGCACAACATTTCCTTAATTTATTTTAGAAAATTTCTAAATAAACGATCTGTTAGTACAATGAGTTTCTTAGTTTTCTATTTAAAATTGCCGACAGAAAATGTTTTTTGGCCCATGGTGTGAGTGGAAAAAGTTGAAAAAGAACATTTAAGCCAAAGAAAAACCGAATGCAGGCCGCGGGTATAGCGTTCGAAATGAGCAGTTTTAGGTTCCAGTTCCAGTCGGTCGTCTATCTAGTTTCAAGTGTGTGCGGACAAATGTAAAATGTCAGACACAACAGCTCGTCGTTTCAGTTTTTGTTGCCGGATAAATTCACATTTATAAACGATAAAGCTTTGCTTAAACTCTACGCAGCCAGTGAAATAATTACTCTTTATTTAATGTTTATCAATAGTGGATTTTAATAATCGTTCAATTAAAATAAATTGCTTGATATATTCAATAAAAAGTTTTGCAAGTAAAAACTATTAATTTGTAATTTATATTCGATGTGACTAATGGCCATTAAGTTTAACGAGCATTCCATTAAACTCATGTGAAATTCAAGAAACCGAGATAATTGCTTTAAAGGACATTTAATGGGTAGTCATATATTTTATAAAACAGTTTTTGTATTATATGTTTTAAACGATGACTTTACTATTTTTGGGACTTTAAAGGATTTTAGTGATGTAATGTGAATGAAATTTATTTACCAAAGTGCCTGAATATTTATTTTGTAATCCTTTTCAGTTCGGTATTTCTGTGAATCCGAATTATATAAAATTTACGAACGGATAGAAGTTTTCAGCGGATGTCAAAGCGTTAATAAAAGCCCCGTCTTATGGGTTGCATAAATTTGAAAAAGAATAGAGCGCCACCTTCGCCACCAGATCTAGAGACAAGTGTGTAAAGACTTTAAAGCGGCCAAAAAAAATAATTATAGCTGCGTAAATGTTAATCAGTTGTTAGCCCGAAAAAACCCCCAGAAAAGCCCCTCCCCTTGCCACAGTCTTTGACGTTTTCAGCATTGTGTTAATAGCAGACGAATAAATTTGCATCAAAATGGATGAGAACGGCAAGTACTTTGTGGGAGTAATCATTTCGAGTCCCCAAGTCCCCGCACCCCGAGTCCTGACCCGATTAAAATTTCCCTGATTAAAATGTACGTATTTCGTTAAGTGTACTGTGCTGTGAGTAATAAGCGACCGAGGCGAAAATGTCAAGGGGGAAAAACTTGGCAGCCCGAAAATTTCTAGTGGCTTTATTGGCCATAACAAAGTCTTTCGCAAATGTGTTGCATATTACTCGCCCCAGGCAGGATGTCCTCGATGTTTTTAGACCCCACATAAAATACTTTATTGGTCCTGAAGTGAAGTCTTAAAATATTTTCACATATTCTATATATTTTTGCAGCTATCCGAGCGGCAATATTCATCCAGAAATGGTATCGCAGGCATCAGGCCCGTCGCGAAATGCAGAGGCGTTGCAACTGGCAGATCTTCCAGAACCTGGAGTATGCCAGCGAACAGGACCAGGCTGAGGTGAGTGGACGATATATATAATATATATAAAATAGACTGAAGGCGCCATGGAAAGCTTAAGAGACCCGTAAAATAAAAAGAACCCTCGACGACGTCAGACGAGTGCATTTGTAGAGTTTCAAAAGTCGATAGCAATCAACTCAGCCGTGAAACATTGTCGCAAGTGCATTGTTGACCCACTCTCTGCTAATTTATTTTCATTCCTTCTGTTTTCCCATAGCTATACAAATTCTTCAATGACCTCATTAAGCACATGCCCCAGGCTGCGGGCAGAAAGAATCAGTACCAAGGTTCCGCTCATGGTGAGTTTGGATAATTTTTAAGAATTAGAAAGTATTTGCCCTATCCTTAAAAAAAACGTTATGTAAAAACTATTATTTTATAATAATATGTTTGAATTTAGTTTCCGTACTTGAAGATAAAGACGACCTCGTTGAAGAGTTTGGGGACATTGTGAATGCCAAAATTGAGTTGCCAATACGAAAAAACCATATCGATCTATTGATTGACGTCTTCCGCAAGAAACGGGTAAGAAACTGTAAAGCAAATTTTAACTTGTAGATTTCTTGTATTTCTTTTATTTTCCAGGGAAACCGATTGCATCCAAAATATGTCGCCCTAATTTTACGTGAGGCTGCCAAATCCCTAAAGCAGCTGCCCAATATTTCTCCGGTGTCCACGGCTGTTTCCCAACAAGTTACGGTTTGTGGGGATCTTCATGGAAAATTGGACGATCTTCTTGTGGTGCTGCATAAGGTAGCGATACCTATCCTCAAAGCTGGTTGTATTTATTCAATCATCCTTTTCAGAACGGTCTTCCTTCCTCTTCCAATCCCTACGTGTTCAATGGCGACTTTGTGGACAGGGGCAAGCGGGGCCTGGAGGTCCTTCTGTTGCTTCTCTCACTCTACTTGGCTTTTCCCAATGCAGTTTTCCTCAACCGTGGCAACCACGAGGACAGTGTCATGAATGCCCGCTATGGATTTATTCGGGAGGTGGAAAGCAAGTACCCTGTAAGTAGAGGAGCCTTTAAGAGGCTTAGCAGTCGCTACACTGAAAATAATTATTATGAATTAATGTTTATGAATTTATGAGTTTGATCTAAAAATGTCATTGGAATCAAAACATTAAATATATTAATTCCATTCATTTAATTTCATCTAAAAAATGTATATATTTGAATACTTTTTTTTAAATGTCGTTAATTAGTATTAATTTTTACCGTGCACCCATTTATGCAGCGGAATCACAAGCGAATTCTGGCCTTCATCGACGAGGTCTACCGATGGCTTCCCCTTGGCTCCGTTCTCAATAGTCGAGTGTTAATCGTCCACGGAGGTTTTTCGGATAGCACAAGCCTAGATCTTATCAAAAGTATTGACAGGGGCAAGGTAAAGGTATTTCACCTGTGTGAAAAGAAAGCATTTAAAATTGTATTTTTTTCACTTGCAGTATGTGTCTATTTTAAGGCCTCCACTGACGGATGGCGAGCCACTGGACAAAACCGAGTGGCAGCAGGTAAAGGGGGTTCATACTATCTATTGATGCCAAATTTATTTATAAAAAGTTATATTTTAGATCTTTGACATTATGTGGAGCGATCCGCAGGCCACAATGGGCTGTGTACCGAACACTTTGAGAGGAGCTGGTGTCTGGTTTGGTCCCGACGTGACCGACAACTTCCTCCAGAAACATCGACTCAGCTACGTCATTCGGTCCCACGAATGCAAGCCCAATGGTCATGAGTTTATGCATGACAACAAGGTGGGTTTGTCTATTTCTAAATATTTCTTCATTACATTACCCATATGGTTTAATTTAATAAACTCTAGAAAAGGCAATTGTCTTTCATAAAGTAGAACGTTTAAATACAATAAGTAGGTATATTTTTGCCATTATATTGAGGTGGTTGGCTACGCCTCTCACCACTTACTTTGACCTGTCAGCCATGCAATTGCAATTTACATGCATAGTGAATTAAGGGGATAATGGGAATATTGCGGTTGAATAATAATTATTACAAGAGGCCATAAGTGTATTGATTTTTTAGTTAATTTAGACATGTGACATGTGTCAGCTGAAAGTTTATTAAACGAAATGAGTATTATCCATTACTACATGTGGTTGGAAAATTGATTTTAAAGGCTAATAATTTGATTTTTTTTCTAACCTCTATAGATAATCACAATTTTTTCGGCCTCGAATTACTATGCCATTGGATCCAATAAGGGGGCCTATATCCGCCTGAACAACCAGCTGATGCCCCATTTTGTTCAGTATATATCGGCGGCATCGCAAACAAAGCGTTTGTCCTTTAAACAGAGAATGGGCATTGTGGAGAGTTCGGCGCTCAAGGAGTTGGCAGTGCGTATGCGTGATCATCGGGATGAATTGGAGGATGAGTTCAGGAGGCATGATCCCAAGGACAGTGGCTACATATCCATTTCGAACTGGTGCAAGGTGATGGAGAAGGTCACCAAGTTGGGACTGCCATGGCGACTCCTTCGCGACAAATTGGCCCCGGGAACAGATAGCCAGAAGGTTAATTACAACAGGACACTGGATTTATTGGACACGGATGTAATTGTAAGTAGTTAATTGTAAATTGTTAGTTAATAATAATAAACAATAATAAATTTAATGGAATAAGTGCTGAGACTTAAGAATTAACTATCTTACATTATAATTTTAGCTCGAAGCTGAGGCCGATGGAATGTCAGTAATGGATGCTTTGTATGCCAACAAGGCCAGTTTGGTGGCCATTTTTAATATCATTGATGCCGATAATTCTGGTATGAATCCAGAAGCCTATAGTTCCGTGATATCCTTATAATAAGTTTCATATTTTCTAGGTGAAATTACCTTGGATGAGTTTGAAACTGCGATTGATTTGCTGGTGGCCCATATGCCAGGTGCCTATTCCAAGGCAGAGATGCTGGAGAAATGCCGAATGATGGATCTAAACGGAGATGGCAAAGTGGATCTGAACGAGTTCCTGGAAGCATTCAGGCTGAGTGATTTGCACAGGAAGGAACAGCAGGACGAGAACATAAGGAGGCGTTCAACTGGCCGATCGGCCATAGCTAAAACCGCCTCAGATCCCGTGGCATTGTTGGCCGACAAGATCTCAAAAAATACGCTGGTTGTGGAACACGACATCGATCCCACGGACTGCGAGGCTAAAGTTATTGATCCTAAGAAGTCGTAAGCGAGGCGATTTTATTCTCAAGAAACTAGCAGAATTTTAGTTTGAGAAAACTTATTAATACTTATTTTATTTTGTTCATATAAGGCATTTAAAGCACATTCATTTTGTCATATTATAAACGAATGATGAAATCTATGTATAGAAATTATATCCAGACACAGTCTAGTTAAAATTACCGAAGATTAAAACCGAATTACAGAATTGAGATCTCTGCGAAGGCAAATAAAACAGACTGCTAAAGTCACAATATTTTTAGCAATTCTAACGGTCATTCCCCTACGCTTTTGATTTAATTAATATATAATTATAAAAAACCTGTTATGCACTGCTCTGTAAGCTATTTTCAGGCTCTTTTCATAAAGTACTTAAAAACGTTATGATATGTAAGAAAAAGTTATTGTTAAGCAAAAATGTTATGTCAAATTTATACAACCAAATATCAGGCGCTTTATATTAAAATATAGGCAAATAAACATACATATTTATTGTTTATCTAAGCCCAAGGGATCAACATTAAATTTTATATACCACTACGGCTAGTTCTAAAATTTTATAAAAATGACTTGTAAACTAAAAAAAGAAAACTATAAATTAAAAGACATTTCCCTTCTCGTACCGTAATTAACCATCACCGAATCTCTAATGCAATCTTATATAACAATTATTATACGACATGAATGCTTTAAATTGATATTAATATAGCAATACGAAAATGATTGAAATCCAAATAAATTTCATGCTTTTAACCACCATGCGTTTAAAAAGTCTATTTAGTAATTAAGCAGTTAAAAAATGTTATAAATGATAGAAATTACATACATACCTCACATGGACCATGCATTGGCACAAGTATTTAATTGCTACTCTCAAAATCCACCTCAATATTTTGCAGTTTCCAAATATTTTGATATTTATATTGAAATATGCAAAAAAAATAAATTATTGCGAAAAGATATATGCTTTCCGACTTCACAATATGCAACGCAATAACAAAGTTTTATACTAAAAAAAAAAACAAGAGATCAGTTATATAGCAAGTTACTTTAGGATTAGTCGTTTGGGGGAGATCGGTAGATGCTCCTGACCTAATAAAAAAATAATGTATCCACAAAATCGTAATCGAGTACCTATTAAAAACTAAAAGAAAAACGCTTCTCAACAGGCACTACAGGACCAATAAATTTAGCCAATCGCTGGCACTTAAATAATAATACACTATGCTAGACATCAATTAACATTTTACTAATGTATTTCTACTATAAGAAGCACCTGTCCCCTATTTGTATTTTGAGCCACATTTCATCGATAGACAAAATATTTTCCAGAAACTTTATTAATAAATATGTTGAATGATTCAAGTCTTATATTAATTCTTGATCGGGAGTAAAATTTGTTTTAGGAAACCATTTTGAAAGGTACTAAGAACTATAGGATGAACTATTTCGTTTCAAAATAGATTTATACTTAGTAAGCCTATGGATCTAGTTTCACTCTTGCTTTAAATTGCTCTACACCATAAATAAATTTATTCAAATATACAAAAAATATAATTTTTTAGACCACGAGTATTTTTAAATCCAAATTGCCTGCTTATGGAGAGATTATATTATCCGATTCCCATAAATCCAAATGCCAAATATCTCTCCAATTCCATCTCGAATGTTTTGTACAGCATTCAGAAATTTGATCAAAACACACTTGCTTGGCCAACGTGCCAACCAAGAAAGGTCATCGCGAGGTTTAAAAAGCGATCGTCTCCGGAGGTTCCATTAGCCGGAACTGCATCTTCTGTGATCCAAAATAAAGGACGTTTTGTATCAAGTGGTGACGCCAGGGCAGCGAAGAAAAATACCTTCTATCAAATACTCCTAGCCAGTCAGGATCAGCCGCCTTTTGAAGAGCCTCGCAGATTTAAACGTAAAAAGAATGATGCCCAATTTAAACGTGATTCCAAAGATGACAGCATTTACAGTGATATATACGATATAGTAAGGACACACAGTCAATACAAAAGGCAACCCAGATATGAAAGTCCCCCCCCAGAGCGACATATATCGATTACTGAGACACCACCTGTAATGGAAGTCTATAAAATTCGTCCTCTTGCTACTGAGAACAGAGAAACTAAGTCAAACCCCAAATCGCCTAAAGTAAAATATCCAAAAGTAGATAACTATAAACTTCAAGATAGAACCAATGAGCTTTCGAATTCCAAAGGCCCTCAGTCTAAGCCGAAATCATCAACATCAAAAACTTCAAAGAAAGAGTTTATAAAATTCCTATCAAAAGATAATAAGCTAAAAGCAGAAATGCATAGGTCAAAATCACATCCTACTAAAGATATATCTAGAGGTCGGGAGAGAATCATTCAGACAAGTATAAAAAAAGATAAACTTAAAGAAAAATCTAAGACTAAGTGCAATTTTCCCGCCACCCAGGATCCTGTTAAAGATGTCCAAGAGGTCCGAGAGAGATATGAGAAGACCAGTGAGAAGAAAGGGAAATCTAGAGGAGAAACCGATAAGTCGGCGATCAAAGACCAACACCCTGTAAAGAAATCAAGTAGAGTTCGAAAGTATATAAAAACTATAAGTTTACATGAAAATTCCGAAGAAGAAACCGAAATAAAAACGTCCGAAGAAAATCCTGAGGAAGGGAATTTAGAAGAAGTTACGGAAAAGTCTCTCCCCGTCAAAAAAGCAAATAAAGTTCGAAAAAGAACCAGGAAAAATATTGAACTGCAGGGAAATGCCGAAGTAGAAACCGGCACGAGAAGCTCCTCAGACAATCCTAAAGAAGTTAAAAAGCGACCTTCTAGATTAAAGTCTTTCAAAAACGAAAATAATTCCAATATGATATATATTGTTCGAGGAAGAAATTCGAAAGGGAGAACAAGCGGATCGTTGACTGGCAGGCAACCTAAAAAAGAGATATATTCGATTCAAGAAAGAAGTCAAAGGGACAACAAAAATGAAAAGGGAGAACACTTCATACAGGAAAACTATAAGAGAGATCCTTTTTTCCTAGGAAGATCAAAAGAGAACTTAATCCAGCAGAGGATATTCGGGGATAAGTCGGACAAGGCAACTCCTAAATTAAAATCAAAGTTCCATAATACAAATAAGCGTCAAGAAAGTTTTAAAGGAGAAAAAGAAAGGGAAGAAGCCAAATCAAAGGCGAATACCCAAGACAAAAAAGTTCGAAGACGATTCCATAAAACCAGTGCCCAGGAAGGGCAATCCAAAACTTCGTCTGAAGAATCAATATTCAGGTCTCTGACTTCCATAAATCCGTTAAAAGATATTTATAATGTTAATAAGAAATCTAAAAAGCCCATTGCCAAGAATAATTTAAAGAGTACCCAAAAACCTCTAAATATATCTAAAATTAATAGTAATAAGAAAAAAATTTCCATAAAAATAATTAATAAGACAGATGATACATCAAGCAAAAGGCTTCCAGGTGCAAGACTGCCGGAAAAATGGATTACTGAACCTCCTCCTTCGAATGAAACCTTCATCCTTCGCGGTATAAATGAAAGAGGAAGAACGGAATCGGCGATAGCAAGATCCTTCTTTTTAAAACGTCCCCCTTTGGAAATCAATCAAGGTCAGGAGATGTCTGCCGATACCGACAAGCTGACAGAAAACAACGTCGCGAATCCACAAGAGGCTTCTGATGATACTGAAACCAAATCGAAAGAAACTACTGAACAGCAGGAAAACGTTGAAGACAAGGCAAATATACTTCCTATAGAAAATGTCCAACAAGCCCATTTATTTAACAAGAAGGGCGGAAACAAAGAAATAGAAAACCCTCCCGATAAATCAAACCTTAAGGTTCCTCCTGCCAAACACCCTTTAAAAGGATTCCATAAATATCAAAAGCCCCTGGAAAAGTCAAAACCAAGAAGCAAGACCGTTGTTAAATCAAACAAGAAGCCTTCTACGGATTCTCCTACTTCGGATGAAATCTATTTTCTTCGTAATAGAATTGGTAAATGGAAAACAGGCTCGGTAATATCAAAATCAAAATCTATGCATTCCAGAAAACTTAAAGGAAACTTCAAAAAGAATCCAGACGAGGAGCAAGGAAACGTCAAAGATAAGAATATAATTGTCTTAAGGTCAAAATCTTTTACCATTCTTCCACCTTCCTTTGAAAGCAAACCAAGAATCAGTAAAGACAGTAAATTTCAAATAAATGTCAATGAAGAAACCCTAATATCAGAGATTGGCCCAAATCCGAAAATAAGTAAACATAAAACGGTACAGAAGAGCGAATCATCCAGATCCTTACACGTTTCTCGAGAGAAATTAAAGTCCATTGGGCGACTAAAATCGATTACTACACCATTAAATTCATTAGCAAGTAATGGGAGTGACGAGTATGATTGTGAAAGCTGCTCAACAGCATCCGAATATTTTTATGGCGAGCATTCACGTGACGTTGATGTAATCTTTGTTAGGCCACCCAGTGTCCTTTCAGGATACCGCAAATCGTTAGAGAGCAGAAAATCCAGTATAGACTTGGGTATGACCGCAGAAATGTATCAAGAGAAATTAAGGAGGGTCAAGCAATTCCTGAATCGCGAAGATATTTTTGATGGCACTCATACTGGCTCGTCTTCAATGTCAATTGATATTGAGGGAATACAAGACCGCGACTTACTGCTTTATCCCTACCCGGAAATATATGAAAAGAAGATAAATGTAACAATAGAAAAGGAATCCAATGTGAATGAAAAGATAGTGACTGAATCAAAAGTAAAGTCGAAACCACCAGATGGGGAGATTGAGAATGTAATAACAAATGAAAGAAAAACCGCTTGCATTATGTGTCGAACGATAAAACGAAGTCCTGCAGATGAAGAAGCCCCATTTATGGAGGCGATGAGAAAGGAACAAAGACGGCGCGAATTATTGGCATATCGAGCAAATATTGAAACCCAGGGTGAACCTTGTAAAATATCAGTACCTTTGGAACGGTCGGATCAATACATAAGAACGGGACCCATTAGCTTAAACGATCTCAGCAGAAAGGAACTTTACTCTCTGGAGAGCAGAACTATACTTTTTAGCGAACAACGAAATTTCATCAGTTTCCCTAAGAAAAGTAATCAAATTATTTTCCTCGGCGAAAGTGATTCCATTACGTTCCTCAAGAAATGTAATTCTATAACTTTTCCCAAGGAGAGTAATTCCATTATTTGCTTTTAGGGGAGATGATTTTTATGGTTACCTCTAAAAAGCTATGCGAATTTGGCAAGAAAATAAAATCAATGGTCTTGTCAGATCCGCATATCTTATAACCCAGTAACAATAAAAAATCAATCTATGATAGATGCCAACTAAAAACTTTTTTTATGCATACATTTTTAGCAAATCCCACATCCAAAAATTAATTAAAACATTTTTCTTCTATACAAGTATTTTATTTACTATCTTAGCTTACAGGTCGGGGGTGTTAAAAAGGCTTAATATCTTGTAGAAACAAAAACATGTTTTGATTTTAAAATGCTAATTAATTTTGACTATCATATTGACTAGAATTTCCAATGCTTCGAAGCGCAAAATGAAGATCACAAAATTTCGTAATTCCAATTGTCTAATTTAAGGTTAATGCCAAATAAAATAACTCAATGGTTTCATATAATTCTGGTGCTTACATACCCATGTGCGAATAAATACTTAAATTACAGTGAACCTTAGCTACGATATATACATGGTAACGAGAGATTAAACAGATTAGCCTTATAAGAGCTTTGAGACTAGATACGAGCTTGCTCTACATTCTTTTCGTTTTTCAAGTATACAATTTATAATTATTGAGATGAGCTTAGGGCTTAGCTTTAAAAACACAATTACTCCAGGTGGTCTACGTTTCTTATGGTGCTGACATATGTATAGATTATATTTACCCGTATTTTACAAGATCGTAAACTAAACTAAACATATACCGCTTTTTTTGTGCCGCATTTATGTACAATAATATTTTGGGGTTATACCGACACTTCCTTTGACTTTGTCCCTTTTCTTCGCAAAAGCTTGGATCGAACATCATCCTGATTTAGTTTGAGTTCCGATTTGGTTACTACTTTCTTGAGGTTTACAGCCTCGTAATCGCTGCCGCTCTCATCGGCAAACTGGATGTCGTCGATGTCGGATAGAAACTCCTGCAGATCCCCAGATGATTTCTCCACGGCCGTTTCCTTTTCCACATAGGAGCCGGTCATCGAATCGTTTGGTTCCAGTTCGGTATCCAATTTCTGATGCACGGCGGCCATTTCAATTGGCGGTTTGGTTCGCTGTTCACGATCCAGGGAACCGCCGCTGATGGACAAATTAGATTGCATCTGCTGTTTGGACTGACGTCGCTGCTTTCTGCTCATAAATGGAGTGGGCTGCTTGGGCAGGACCTTCCCTCCCTTCTCCCCTCCATCGCAGGGCGAGGTGGCCTTCGAGGGACGCCCACTGTCCGGCGGTGATCGCTCCTCGGAACTGGGTGTATTATCAGCTGTGGTGGACTTGCTGGACTCCGTATTGCTGGCGGGACTCAGATAATGTCCGTATTTGGGCATCCTGATCTCCTCGTACAGCGGCTCCCGTTCATCTCTCTCGGGATCGGGATCCGGTTCCGGTTCTGGTGTCTTGTCGTCCTCTTCCCGTTCGGCCACCTCCTCGAAGGGCGGTATCCAGATTAAGTATGCCGGGTCCATTCCCAGATAGGAACCCGGCGCCGAGCCCGCATTGATCACATTGTAATCGTAGTAGTCCAGCTCGAGTTCCTCCTGATTTCCGAGTGAAAATTCTGAACCTGGTCGGGTCATCAGTTTCCTACGATTCTGCTTATCCTTGGACTCCTTGGGATTGCTGGTCGTCCGGATGGTCGCCGTGCTCACCACGCTGGCAGCTGGGGAATAGCAGCCCTGTAAAATTAAAATTTAATTAGTTTTCTGTTCTTTGTTGAGTATATTTTTTCAATTTCTGGATAAATATTTTTATTAGATTTTGATTCTGTAACCTCTTAACTCACATTCGTCAGGGAAGTGCTGACACTGCGGGATCCCAGGCGACCCAATCTGAAGGATTCGGTGACCGAGTGCAGCGAACTGGCATCCTGCAGGCTCTCATCCAATCTGGAGGACAGCAGCTTGAGGGTCACCGCATCGTAGCGATCGGAGTACTTGCTCAGCCGCTTGCTGTTCATCGGCGGACTGTTGCACAGGGAGCTCATGCCCGAGGATATGATGGATTCCGAGTCCCTGGCACTGTCCTTGCAGCTGGGCGGCTCCAGACCCTCATCGGTGGGCGAGGCCTTGGAGCCATCAGTGCTGCTATGGACCGCAGCCAGTTCGGCTTCAGCGGAGGAGGGCGATCCTACGACACTGCCGGTGTCCAGAGATCGAGCTGGCGAGGATCGTTCGTTGCGCAGAGTAACCATGGAGGCCGAGCTGCCCAACTCCTTGATTTCAGCACTGCAAAAGAAAGGTGGGGAATATATTATTTATTTTGAAATAGAAATTATGTTTTATTAAAATTTGTTTTAATAGTATTTATTTTAATTAGAAATTTTTAACTTAAATAATATTTATTTTATTTAGTAATTTAAAATTTGGTCTAAGCTTAGATACGGAATAAAACATAAGGCAGAAAGATCGAATTTTAAGAGTGAAATTACTACTATTTAGTTATAAACAAGAGGGAACGTTATAGTCGGATGCCCCGACTATCAGATACCCGTTACTCAGGTAAAGGGAGTGCGAGGGAGATGGAGATAGAGATAGAAAACGTTGATCACGCATAACTTTTTAACGAATGGTCCGATTTGAAAAATTTCTTCTACATTTCGATAGGTATTGATAAACACAATAAAACTGCATTTTTACTTTTCCAAAATATTAAAATTTTTAAAATCGTATATAAGCGATGGTGGGCGTTAGAGGGGGCGTGGCACCATTTTGAAACAAACTTGCGCTGCGTAGGAATTCCTAGAATCTGCATGCAAAATGCCAATCTTCTAGCTTCTATAGTTTCCGAGATCTCAGCGTTCATACGGACAGACGGACAGACAGACAGACAGACAGACAGACAGACAGACAGACGGACAGACGGACAGACGGACATGGCTAGATCGACTCGGCTAGTGATCCTGATCAAGAATATATATACTTTATGGGGTCGGAAACGCTTCCTTCTACCTGTTACATACTTTTGCACGAATACAATATACCCTTTTACTCTACGAGTAACGGGTATAAAAATAATACCATATTTAATTAAATTATTTTAAAAAATCTAAGACTCACCACTTGGCCAGCATTCCCTGAGAATCCGACTCCTTGAACTCCGTCTCACCGGTCAGATTCTCGGCATCCACGCTCTCGCGAAGAATGGAGTGTCGCAGATGGTGTTTGGGTCGCATCTTGACCATGTAAATGACCTCCGAAAGCAGGGTAGTGGTGGACATGGCTCGTGAAGGAGGTCCTTGCAGGGAACTCAGCGAAGCCCTGGGAGTGTGAAGCCGGGATCCTTCGTCCTGACGCCGTGCAACTGCCAAATGGTACTTTCGATATCGCACCACATATTGGGCACCTGAAAAAATAACAATTTATTAGTCTAGAAAAATTAGAAAAAATTACAAAAAACCCCACCTAAAAGGGCACTTATTATGATGATGATGCTGGCAAAGATCATGGCACTTAGATGTACCAGGGTAAAACGAAGACGCGACATGGGCTTTTGGGAAACAGAGCGACTTTTTCCGGACAAACGGGTGGCGGCCACAAGAGTGGTACTACTGTTGCTGCTCCTAGATGCTGTTGTTAAAATACATGTATTATTTATTAAATTTCAGGTAAAACTCTAGCTTTTACTCACCCAACTGCTGCTGCACATTGGCCATGAATCCTCCGGTGCAGGCTGCATTTCCCTCCTGATTTCCAGTGGATGCATTCGTCGAGGGTCCATCGCCGGCGGAGAATTCCACCAGGAGTTGGCCACCACTCGACTCGATGGCCACCGGAACGCCCACTCCCTTGAGGATCAGCCCACCGCCATTGAGTTCCACGAGAAGAGTGGACGAAAGCGACGGACCATCGCGCACCTTTATGTACTGGGAGGCACAGGGCAAACGGAGGAAACTAAGGGCAAGCGAAATGCTTTCCTCGCCATCCACCTGGGAAGAAAGAAATTCCATTGTTTGTGAACATACGGGCAAATGTTTGGGCTTCCCCCATTCCGGGACCAACGGAAACTGCCGAAGTGGGTCAGGCATTCATCACCATTTAGCCTCCTTCCCATCAGCACTTTTCCCCTCATCCCGAGGAACGTGCCAATTGGCAGGTCTAATCATTCCAATTGTATCGAACAAAAAGGGGGTGAACAAAAGTGTGTACGAGCCATAAAGGGTAGGAACCCTATCTTGTGATACCCATTTCGATAATAAAATTGTATTTTAGGACACTTATATTATCAAAATATTAAATGATGTTGAAACATATCATTTAAGTTTGTCAATTACCTTAAAATTTGACTTTTTTTATATACCTACATTCATTGCTTTCAATGTTTTTTAATAATGTAAAATATATAAAACAGGCGTAGCAATAGCTACAAAAAATATAGAATTTAGGTCATTGGCAATTGCCTTTTAACCAAAGAATAAATAAATAAATTAGTTATTACAATTTGTTTTTTTTTTAATTTGTCATTTTGTTTATAATAACTTTTTTATTATTCTTCCTATTTATTTTCCTAACCTTTTTTCTCAAACACATTTTTTGCTGCTTTTTTAAAAGTTATGATTTTGTTCATCCCCTACCTTAAATTCAATATACCCCTTTATACACAAGTACCGGGTACATACAGTTCAGGCCACCCCCATTGGACCCCTTACGCATTGATAGTTTCGGGTCTGGCCAAAACGCCTACCAAGTGGGGCATTTATTATGCATGAATTGAGTTCAACCCCCATGGCCAGTAATTCCCAGTTTCGAGCCACACTTCCCTGTGGCATGGAACATTAAGTGGGGCTCCTTTGTCATTTGGGGAGCAGCCTCCGAACCTGCGAAGCGTAGCGGAATTTTATTCATGGACTCGGACCTCTGAGTGTTTGGCATTGTTCGTTTTTATAGTTATGGCGGCAGACAACTTGAAAGCTTTCAAAACTTGACCAAATGCCAAAGGGCTTAACTTTGCTTAACTTTTGCTATTTTCTAGTGTGAGCTTATTTTTTTCGTTTAGGGGTTTGAGTTTGTTGGGTTTGGTTAATGGCTCGTACCTGTATTAGCCAGAAGGAGCGGCCGGGACAACTTTGTGTGGCGCCCGCAATGATCCTTTTGGGCTTCGAGGAGCCCAGATGCACTATGCAGCCACAGCGACATCCTGGTCCGATTTCCTGGCTAACCTCGGTGCTGTTCTCCTTGGTTATCACCGTACCGGATGTCTCGTAGATGCAGTCCCACGTATCAGCGATGCTCTTGCCACACTTCTGGGTTTCAACTGAAGGACCCTGTAAATTAAGAATAAAAACATAATGTAATTAGGATTGGTATGATTAAGAATTAAATTTTAATATGCATGTAATTACAGGTTTTTTTTATCATTATTTTGGCCGAAACAAAGGAGCTATTGGTCCAAATATAAAAGGTAATTACTCATCGAACTCGTACTTAAATTCTTAATCAATTAACATCGAAACCTAAACACTTTAATTTTCAGAAATATTTTGTTAAAAATCATGATGACACCCCTTATAAAAATAGGAAAATTGATAAAAAATCATTTTTTTCGAAATCAGCAAAAAAGTACCAGGGATTTACTGATTAGGTGCTTAGCTATTTATAATGATACGCTTTTTTGATTTCAGGCCAATTTTAGATACAAAAAATCGTATTTTTAAGTAAAGCCCAGGTCCTAACTTATTTTCTCCGAAACAAAGAATGTTAGGATATTTTTCGTTTAAGTTTAGAGCTAAAGTTCTATCAAACCTTATGAGTATCGGAAACATATTGGTCTTTGCAGATATTTATTCAAGTCTCAACATAATTACAACGAATAGTGAACATAAATTTCGTGCACATTAGTAGATAAACTGCACATCAAAGTCCTCCTCCTCGCCCTCCTCCTCTCCCTCGCCTTCTTGGGTGATGCCCGTCAGTTTGGAGGTGGCCGTCAGGGTGTCCATGGTTCCCAGGCTGGGCACAGCTTGGACGTTCTTCGAGGAGGCGGAAACGGCCAGAGGAGCGGTTCCGGGCGGTGCGACGGATCCCTCGCTGCTCGCCTTCTTCACGGACATGGAGCTGGTCGATCCCTCCGGTTCCTCCAGCGGCTCCTCCTCCACCTCGATGAGATCGTCTTCGCGCGACGACGACACATACAAAGTGGTTCCGAATTCCACATCGATGATGGTGTTCTCATCGCCGCGCAGCGTGGTGGCCAACCTATCCTGTATCTTCTGCTTCTGCAGATCCTCGGGAACTGTGCGATCCGGCTCCTGGTCGATGACCTCGCTGCGGAAGGCGTCGAAGGGCGTGGCCTTGGGCCGGGAGGGCATAAAGCCCATTTTACCAGGTACATAAAGCGAGGAGGTGGCACTGCCAATGGAGGCAATCGATGGAGTCCGCGGCAGCTCCTCCGAATGGGAACTCACTATGTTCAGGAGTTGGGAGAGCAAATCGCTTCGTTTCAACTTGCAAACGGAAATGGCCTCCTCGCGGACTTCCTTAATCACCGCAGGATCATCCACATTGGCCTCCGTCAGTCGTTCGGGGAACGTCTTGGCCGCCTGCTCCGCCACAATGGCATCCCGCACCGTGCACTTGATCTCCTGGATGACACCGCGCAGTCGGGTAATCTCCGTTTCGTGCTGGGTATGCACCACTTCGAGGTTCCGATTTTCCAGCTCCAAAATCTCCATTCGCTTGGCCAGATTCCGCAGCTTGGCAGCCACATCCTTCTGCTTGACATTCTCGCACTTCTCCGCCTGGATATGCGATTCATAGGCCTTCCTGTATCGCAAAACCTCCACATATTTGGCCTTGAGCTTCTCATAGTTCCTGGTCAGACCCTCGATTATCTTGATCTTGTTCACGGAGTTGCGTACCAATTCGTTCTTGATCTGATCGAGGGCACTGTACTGCTCCTCCATCTCCTTGTGCTTGGACTTCTGGTTGGTGTAGGCCTGTTGGAGTTTGATCTGCGACATGACCAGCAGATCGATCTCCTTCTGTAAAGCGATATTCTCGCGGATCAGGCGACGGGTGTAGCCGGCATTGCGGATCTCACTGGAGCGGGTGAAATCCTCGGACACCTGGAGTAGCTTCTGTTCCACCTCCTTCTTCAACGCGTCCTTCTCGACCACCGCCCGCTGTTCCATGTTGTAGAGCGCCTCCTTGTGATCCTTCTCGCGCTCATTCAAATCTGCCTCCTGGTCATCGAACTTGGCCAGCAGAACATCCCTTTGGATGCGAAATTCGTCTAGGGAATTTAGTTTGCCATTGAGCAGCTTAATCTCGGAGGTCAACTGGTCATGCATGGCTTTGTACTTGGCCTCCAGATCCCCAATCTTCTCCTGCGCCAACCGATTCTCCACATCGCGCACCTTGGTGATCTCCACCAGACGCTCCTCCAGTTCGGTGATCGAGTTGTTTCTCTCCGCCAAGGTGCGTTCCAAATGGGCCGCCACATCCACGCCATCGGATTCGACTTCCTTGAGTTTCTCGGTCAACGTTATGTTGGACTCGTCGACACTGGTCAAGTGGGATCGCAGACGGGCCAACTTCTGATTGAGGTCCGTGATGGTCAGCTCATAGAAGGTCCTGTCCACCTGGGTCACCTTGTTCACATCCTTCTTCTCCTTCTTCACCTTTGGCGGCATCTTGTGGGCTTATTTTTCTTATCCGACTTGACTATATAGCAATTTAGACGTGTATTTGTGTTTTTTGAATGATGTATCATCGTTTATAAGTCGGAATTTTTACACCCATCTTTCTTTCTGTTTCTTAGTAAATAAATCCTATTATAACAACTAGTTGAACAACCGTTACCAAGGCGATAAAAGCTTTTCAAAGCTTAGGTTATAGCCTTCATAGTAAAAGTAGTTCACAAAGCTATATTTAAATAAGCATTTAATCTTCAAGCATTTCTCATTTATAAAATATTATTAAAGAAAGATTTATGATTTATTATTTTATTTTAGTTCATGGTTTTTATCCTGGAATCTGGCGTTTATTTTCACAAGCTCACCAGCATATTTTTATACAAGACATTTTTAGAAACAAAGCAAAAAATTTTCACCCAGCATGTGCAGTATTTTTTAATCTCAACGGCTGCATTCACATTTTGTTTACTTTGCATGCTCCTTTCATAAATCTAGCTGAAAAGTAAATTGCGGTTTTATAAATATTAAATTTAAGAAATAACCCGATTTAAATTTCTATTTTAGATGATGCTTTTTTCGTGTTTTTGTGACTAAATGATGGGAAAGCAAAATGTTTTCCGGCTTAAACATGTTTCAAGAGCCACTCGGCAGCCACTAATTTGAGTTTGTGGTGCTGCTGTGGTCACAAAAGGTTATTCCCGTGTTTTCTAAAAGCAAATAGTGCCTGCCGTGCCGGAGCTTTGTTTGATTAATAGCCCGTGGGGCAATATTTGTATACACACATGGGCAGCAACGCCTCCGAGCGATTCTTTTGGGGGCAAATGCAAATTTGTTATGAAAAGCCTGGGTGCGTAGAAGTGGAGGAGGTGCTACCTTCTATTCCCCATTGGACACACCCACTCAATTGTAGTCGCCCCACGGCGATGCGATGCGATGCTATTGTTCCCAGCATCCGTGGCACGACTCCCGTGTAAGAACTACTTGCAATAAGTGCGCGGAACATTTAAAAACTTTGCCAGTAATTGTTCCAAACAAGTTGGCAAAGTACGGCCAAATGTGCCCCTATCGCTTGGATGTTGATGCCGGAAGTTTTTGGATAATGAAATGCGCGGATAGGGATGGGGATAGGGTTCTGGTACCAGAGGAGGTTCACTGTTCCACTCTGCACAACAAAAGAAACAAGATAAAGCGAGGCGCAGTAGGCCGACAATTGTCGGAAGCGTCGTAAATTCCCCACGCAATCTGGAGCAAGTGTCGCAGTGTGGAAACACGCTCGCAGACAACATAACATACCCACTCCCACTCCCAGCCACCCACTCCTCCAATGTCCCACAAGCGAAAACAATGAAATAGTTCCACTTTGGCCCGGAGGAGTACACTGAGAGAAATATAGAATTTTTAACAAGAAAAAAGGTAAATCATATAATCCGAATATAAATAAGTAATTCTAATTATCATAATAATAATTAGTTAATTGAAAAATGATGAGGTGTATATCATAATCTTCTATGGTAGGTACTATTTTTCATGTTTTCAAAATTTTAAAAAATTCTTGAAATTATTAAACTTAATCATTATTATTTTTATCATCAAATGAAGATATTAAAAATCATTTGTGTTAAAAATAACATTTTTTATGGCAATGGATCCTATATTTTTTCAGTGTAAGAAAGTAGAGTGAAATGTGAACTAAACTGGAAGCAATCTCTAGGGTAACGAAGTCCCCGGAGACGGGCGAAGTTTGCCTGTCTTCAGTTGTAGTTCCGCACTTATTGAAATCGTCTTGATGCCTCCGCTTAGATGTGCGAGAGTATTAATCATTTCTCGGAGCACTCAATCAAACTTTGACTATTAACGTTGTCAAATCAGGTGGAGGCAGAGGTCGTTCAGAGGTTAATCTACCGAGTTATTTGCTGGAATTACAGGGGCTTTTGGGGGTTACATACCTCGCAGAATTTGGCGCCATATCGCGGGGGTGGTGAATCGCAGAATCGGTAGCGATTGCGGGTTCCTCCCAGGCAATTCGTAGAGCAGGGCGTCCACTCGCTCCAGGGTCCCCAGCCACCGGTATCCGAATCTGCGGGGAGAGAGGACTGTCATAAGCTAATCCCTTCATAATTAATAAGGTAAGTTTAAATTATATATGTGTACAAGGTATACAATGAAGTGTTAACTGTTTTATAACAATAAAGCTGCTGTAATCCCTCACGTTGCAAATAAATGGGAGCATTTATTGTAAAGTTTTTAAAGGTGGTTATGACAGTTTTGCATTAAATTGTAATGGTATATTAATCAAAATCTAAAAGGTTTAAGTCCAGAAAATCTGACTCTAAAATAACTTTAACATAATGTTCTCTTTTATTATTAAAAATTAAATCTACCCTTCTTTGTCAAGGCATTGTAATTTATATACAAAATATACTTTCATAAGACTTTAAATTCTGCTGTTAAAATAAGTGGTTATTGGCCAATAATTTAAATTAAATTTATATTGCATCTCTTAGGATTTTTCAGTGTACCATAAAAACAATGGCAATAAAATGTTGCAAGCTATATGAAATCCATTTAATTGGGATTTTGCCTTAATGATGTTAAGTACTGTCTCAACTCACCGCTCACGGGCAGCGTGGGCACGCAGTCCATCCGGACATCGGCCACGGCACCGGAAATTGCCTGGCTGACGTAGACGAAGCAGTACTCCACGTATTTCTCCGAGAAGAGCTCGCAGGCGAAGTACAGTGAGTGCTGGCTCTTGACCACCCGCTGCTCGGAGACATAGTGGAGCGTGGTCGGTGGCTTCAGGGAGGCAACATCTGCCCTCAGCTTGGCGTACAGACGCACCCGGTCGCCCTGCTCCAGAATGCAGCCGGGATACTCGTAGAGGACACCGATTCCGGTGTGCGGATCGCAGGGGAAAATGCTGCGGGCATACACGTTGAACACGAACTCATCGCTCCAATCGACGCTCAGTAGCCGCCGGGTGGTGGGCACATTCTGGGCGGGCACCATGGGTCTCAGCTGAACGGCATAATTCCCGGCCAGTCCGAAAAGTTCGCATCCCAAGTGCAGACTCTTGTTTTTCGGGAATCCCCTGATTTGCTCCGCAAAAAGGACACTGGAAGGGGTCATATTCCGGCTGCAACTCCTCTCCTTGCCGCAGTATATTAATTCCAGCCAGAATTCCGGTAGCGCCAAACTGCTGCCTGACTGATTGCAATTGACCTCGGGAAACCGCAGATTGACCTCGACGGGATTTTTGGGATAGGTCCTCAGGCGCACTGGACTCACTATCATCTCGGCACTGGGCCATCGCACATCGAGGGTCTGGAGTAATCTTTCGTCCTGGGACGGCACCAAAGTGGTGGTCACCTCACTCCGATTCACCGACTTGAGGTTGCTGACCACCTGCATCTCGTAGCGGCCGCCAATCAAGAAGGTCTGACATGGGACCGTCACCTGGGTGACATTGAACCGGGGATCCGGAAAGACCGGTATATTCTGCACCACCTCCTTGCGCCTGCGATGGAGCACCACCTGGCTATTGGTGGCATTTGCATCGGGGGTGGAAGTCGGTGTCTCCACTTCATCAATGATTTTGCTAATGACTAAAGTGCTCATTATGGTGTTGTTCCTGGTCCTCAAGTCCCGCCCGTCAGTGCCCAAGTGCTCCCGGGTGGATGGGCTGTGCTCCTCCTCTTCCGCCGAGGACACCTCGTTGCCATTGAACTGGATCTGCACATGCAGGTCCCCGCTGAGGGCGGTGAATGTGCTGGGGGACATCAGGCGACCCTTTCGCACCGCCAGCACGTGACCTTTTGTCGAATGCGAATCCCAAGGAGGCACCACATGAAACGAGGGAGGAAAAGGGAGAGGGAGAGATAAGAATTATAAATCCTTGTAATTTATTTCGTGTCGCTGGCTTCTGTTGGCCCCATTCAAAGCCAAGAGCCGCTGCCATTGTTTACTCCACCCTGGTCGTGTAAATTGAGTCGCCTGCAACTGCTGTGGCTGCCCCCGGGCTACAAATTATGCAAGGAAAACAAAAACAAAGGGGGCAACTTCGATTCGGAGCCACCAAGTTTAATTACTCTTTTTTTATGGCCTCACATAGAATCAAACTTTTCTGATCACTATTTTTTTGAAATGAAAGGGGGGAATTGCCCTAACTGGATTTATAAAAATGCTCTCAAAAGAGAAAAATAAGTTAGGAATTATTAATATTTGTTAAACTGCAACCTTTGTTATTTTTATAATTTTAGATGCCACTTGCATTCAAAAATAATAGTTATTAAAAACTAAAAATGTTTTACTATTCATTTTCCTATAAAGGGTATTAAAAACCAATAACTTCTTCATATTTGTTAGTTAAGAAAACTCGAGGTAGATTATGTAGCTGTGCCATGTTTAGTGTATTATGTTTAATGAATCAACACATGTAGCTTTAACGCCTAGCTGACCATTTCAAAATGTCTACTGTCCAAATATTGCGTATACGCATGTTGGCCCACAAATGTATTTATTTATTCAGGCCGAATGTGTCAGAGGCAGTCAGATGTTGTGCCGTAAATGAGTTTCACTCACTTGTCCCACTTAATAAGAGCAGCATTATGGATGATATAATAATTTTCCACTTGACTACTGATTTTAGTCCCGATGTCAGCATGCCGATTGTCTTCTTTCGCCTCCGATTCGCCGCCATTTCCTTTGAGTTTTTCCGCATTTCCTTCGTTTTTGTTCTGGTTTTCGGATTCGGATTCGTTTTCGTCGCCTTTGCCGTTGTCGTTGCCGATTCAATCAGAGGTGTCTGTCTAAGGAATCTCCTCCTGCCACTCAGTGGGAGTGGTAGGTTACTATACCGAAGACTGAAGGTTCCACGTCGCTGGCACACATTCTGCAATTGCGATTGCGATTGCGAGGGATGACGGCTCCTACTATCCCTCTCCCCTATGGAAGGAGTGTCATTTGTTTAGCTCTCATCGCCAGAGGAAAAGTTCGCTGTGACTTTGGCCTTTCGGTGGAGGGAAAAGCAGAAATCAACCTGCCAGGCATATTCTGAAAAAAAAAGAGGAAAAAGTTGACGTCTCAGAAAGATACACAAATCAAATTAAAGACAAATTGAGGTCTACATTTATAGATTGACTAACGAAATTATTGTGATGGCCTCATTTTTCATTCCATATTTCAGACTTAATAATAAATCCTTGAGCATTGATGAACAGCAATTTTTTAGACTTAGTTTAAGTTCGTGCATTTTAAAAACATCAATAAAAATAGCAACACTTTAATTTACCTTTATTCAACTTAAAACGGTGTGAATTTTAAAATTGAATTGTATCTTATTCGTTTATATTAACCTGACCGCACTGAATAGGATTTTAAAAAGCATCAAGCCGTTCAACATACAAATCAAATGTCGATTCGACAAAAAGCTTAAAATTAAACTCCCAACAACAAAGGGTGTCAATGGCCCCTATCAAAGCATAAAAAATCCCCATCCTCCAACTCTAAACCCCATATATGTATGTATATATGACCTGTTCTATGCCTGTGTGTATTTCGTATTTCGAAGGGGGAAGAAAAAGAAAACACAATCAACCCTCATAAATTCTTAAACCAATTACAAGTCGTGCACGAAACATTTTTATGGCGATTATTTCCACAATTCAATGCAATTTCATCGAAAGTTATGGTCCAGAACAAAGGAATGAAACAAACATAAAAGAAGTGAAGTCAAGACTCGAAGTGACTAGACAATACCTACGGAAATTGTGACTCAACTAGATTTTTATAACAATAGACTAATCCAAATAATATGGGTATAATAGAACAAGCTTTATCTTAATATTTATTTATGCCTTAATCTTTATTTATACAAATAAATATTTTAAAAACAAGTATTTTTATACCCGTTACTCGTAGAGTAAAAGGGTATACTAGATTCGTGCAAAAGTATGTAACAGCTAAAAGGAAGCGTTTCCGACCCCATAAAGTATATATATTCTTGATCAGGGTCACTAGCCGAGTCGATCTAGCCATGTCCGTCTGTCCGTCTGTCCGTCTGTCTGTCTGTCCGTCTGTATGAACGCTGAGATCTCAGAAACTACAAAAGCTAGAAGGTTGAGATTTCCCACACATATTCTTTGGCTTCCTACGCAGCGCAAGTTTATTTTAGCCGAGCGCCACGCCCCCTCTAACGCCCACAATCGCCCACTAACGATTTTAAAATGGGTCCTGCGCCCACATCTTTAAAGATTTCCGAGAAGTATAAATGCAATTTTGTTGTGTATATTTATACCTATCAAAATGTAGAAGACATTTTTCAAATCGGACCATTCATTAAAAAGTTATACGCAATCAAAAATTATATATCTATCTCCCTCGCACTCCCTTTAGCTGAGTTACGATTATTAGTCGGGACACTCCCTTTAGCTGAGTGACGGGTATTAGATAGTCGGGACAACAACCCGACTATAGCGTTCTCTCTTGTTTCTTATACGAATGGCAGCTTCAAAAACAAATTTCTTTTCTAAAACGTACGAAAATATATTAAAACCATTTTCCCTAAGTTTAGTAATAAAATCCAGCTCCTATAAGGCCAAATTTTAAAGGCGGACTTTATGATTTCAGTGTGTGGCCCACGACCATCCAGTGTAATTAAATAATCAGCCACAAATAAAATATTAACAACTTTTTGAACCCGACCCAGAGGTGGCGATACATCACCAGCTGGCAGACGAAGGGGGGTAAGTAATTTGCCGACTGACATGCACATCTAATTCCAGTAGTTTTTCGATTCATCAACAAAAGTTCCGAAGGTGGTTCAGGTTGGGCTAGTGCCGGATATTTGGTGAACAGGAAGGGGATTCCACTGGATAGGATATACCCACCCCCACGGTCATTAGCGAAATCTGTCGCGTCACTGGGATATATGTACGGACCGAACCCAACCCCCTGCTATGCCCCTTGTCGTCACCTTAATTGCGGACACGCACGGATCGGGACGATGGCCAGATGCTATATGTATGCTATATGGCACATTGTACGCCCTTTGCGCTAATGAGTTGGTCCTGCCAATTGCCGCACACACGTGCGTCCGCTGGCATTAAACCGCTTTCGAATGGTTCCAACAACAGTTGGTTGTTCGAACCTCGAAGGCCTTTTACAGCCAGAATCATCAGCATTTACGGCCGATTTCCTATGACGGTTTTGTGCCCTCTTTTGGGATGATTTGAAAACGTTGATTGCAAATGGAAAATCAATGTCGCAGTTCCTCTGTTTCGATTGAACTTACCACCATTAAATAAATGATTTAAAATACGTTCTTTGACTTAAAAGGTTATGGGAAAAATAAAATATATTTCTATGGCTTTCGAATAGGTTTGTCTATTAATCTATTAATTTTAATAGCTTTGTAATAATTTATGTTTTAAAAGTATCTTCAAAGGTACAAAAATGAAAATAATATTATATTTTCTTTAATAAAAATATAATAAATCTATTAAATTTTTAAAACATTAATAAAAAAGATTTGTTTTTAAATTTTTTCTTCCAAAAATTCACAGAATTGAAAACGAGAACGCGTCGCATATGAATTTTTGGAAATAATCCTGCCACACCAGTTTCCCTCCAGCAGAATGTGCAAATAGCTCGACTTACAGACAAATCCCATGGTCATCCGGCGCACTGGGAAAGTGTGGGAAATGTAGTGGAAACAAAACAGAGGGCCGAAAAACAGAAAAAGACATTTGCACCAAATTGAAAGCGGAGAGCCGAGCCCACCGAGTTGTTTTCTGTTTTCCATTTTTGTTCCCCCAATTTTCCATTTTTGAATGGCCAAAGCTGGCTGGCCATCAACATGATTATCGGTGTCGCTGTGGGCGATTGGAGGTCGGAGGTCAGAGGACAGTGCGATGCGTGTGTGCCCGGGGAGGATTGGATTGGAAAACTATTAACTGCACTGTGCGGTCCTTTGAGGCGGCCGTTATCCTGCCAACCAGTTACCACTCGGCGGAGAGCGCTAATTCGCTACAGAAACACTCAAAAAAATGAAATCGTAATTTTTGATTGTTTGACAAATTGTTATTTGTAACATATTAAATGCACTAAAAATCAAAAGATTTCGCACAATAAAAATTGTATTTATTAAGTCGACTTTATATTTAAATTTACATTTTGATTTGGTTCTTTTTAAGCCTCTAAATTTCTCTAAAAAATAGCAGTAAAATTTTATAATAGACCATTAACTCTTTCATTTATTTTTCATAACCACCTTAAATAATTATCTCCTAAAAGTAATTCCAAATTTCTTCCTGTGCAATACTGACCAGCCTAGTATTGCGAAATAGTCACAGCGCGGAAAATCAAAGCGATGGCGGTCCGAGAATTATGGTGCATGGCGGTCCGGGAAAATCGAAACGGCGGAACAAGAACTGGAAGGGCAACGGGGTCGGGGAAGTCCCGTGCTTAGGACTCTATCCTCTAGATAGGCAAAATGTCAATGCCCCGGCTGCGCGGGTGGCGTGTGACCACCAGTATTTTCCACCCTGGCCTCCGTTATCGCTCCCTGGGAGTGCTGTTATTCATTATACTTTGTGGGCGAGGAAAATTCTACGTTGACTCGCTCAACATTTCGGTTTTTGGGGTGACTCCGGCATACTCCGTAATATTCACTCACACACAAAACACACGTTTGCGAGGGGAACTTTAAACTGCGCAAAAATTCAGCCACAAAGAAAAAATGCACACTTTGAATATCCAAACATTTACATGCTCTGTTTACTCTTAATCAATGGCCAAGGATGCCAACGAGCTGAGTCTGCACTTAAAAGTCCATTTCGCCACCCGCATTCGGCCCACAATCCACGCCACCTGGTATGAAAAAACCCCCTTCATTTCCCCACAAATGCGGTGTGCAATTGGGTTAAAAACTAAAAATAAACCCCAACGGACAGCAGGTAAAAACATGTACGCCACCCGTATGTAATTACCTGAAACGGACCTCATTCGCATTCAAGGAGCAGAGCAGCCATTTGCTCATTTGGACAAATAATAGAGATAAGTAAATAGGGAAATTGCGGAAGTCAACTGAACAATGCCACAGTAAAGAGGTGGTAAGCCCCATGTCCGACAGGAGGAAAACAAAGGCCGGAAAAATCAGATTTCCCAACTCTTTGCTGGCGAGGAAGGCAGCAAAAAATCAACAGCTTTTTGTGAAAGCAAAGCAAAAACTGACTTGGTTAATGAAAGGCAAAATTATCTAAGCAAAATCGGACTCCGCTTTTGTAAAAGGTAAAAAACAAGATAGAAGTAAAAACAAACAAAGAAAGCTGGAATATTTCTGCGGAATTTACTCAGCATCTTCCTGAAGATAATAGTTAAGTAAATGAGTTTAAAATTGCAATCGTACGAATTTAATTTTTTTACTTCCCTTTAGAGAACGTTGCTCTGTATATCATCTGCGAAAAACAGAAAACAACTACTTGAAAGCCCGACGACACCCAAAACTATGGGGACAAAAATAAGTGCGCTATAGCCGCGAGGGCTTCAGAGGGTTAAAAACACAACACTCTGAAGGGGGTGGGCGGGGCAGACGTTGTGCTTGACACCAAAACCACAAAAAAACACTTTAATGACTGCGACATCAGCCACAGAATCGTTCAAGTGAGTCCAGCTGCTGGCAGACCGCCCTGTTAAACCGAGACAAAACCAAGAAAAAACATAACATAAAAGCGCAAATTAATTTTAAAAACAAATCGATTATGTATTTTCCCTTGAAGAGAAAAAACTGCATATATAAAAAAGAATGGCGAATACAATTATAAAAGATTGACAGTTCCCATTAAAATTTAAAAAAATTTGGAAGGGGTAATAAACTTTTGAGAAAAAACTGGTTACAAAAAACATTTTATTAAAATACTAAAACATTTTAAAAATTTCTTCCTAACTTTAAACATTTATTAGATTACCCCTTGCGCACTTCATGTTTTGGTATCATAAATTCCATTTCAAATCATAATGGTATGCATTGCGTGTAATAGTTTTCGTGTTCAAAG